TTTTAAAAACACATCCAGCCAGGCTGGACTCTTCAGTGGGCTAAATCTGGCCCATAAATTGGATTAAATAATCCGGTCCATTTTCCCACTGAAGTAACTTGTGTGTAAATATAATGCTGTTTGTGTGGGGGTAGTATTTGTTTTTGTCTTTGTAGCTGTTGTGATGCGATGAGCCATTTGCTTTGCTTTTCGTTTGCTTCCCTTGTTTTCCTTTAAAAGCTATATATTTCTGTGTGCTTAGAGCTTTTAAACTTTTACACATAACATTTTATATATACAATAAAAAATAAAGTGCATCTTCAAAATTTTCACTTTAATGATGTGCATTGCTGTTGTATCTGTAATAGAGCTTCATGTAAAGTGAATTCAAACATAACTATATACATAAAATTATATTTTGAGGCCAAAGTACTTACATGTTGACAAAAAAACAAAAGTAATCTTTACTTTCTGCTGTCTTAATTTGGTACTGAATAATTTAAAGGATTTATTTCAAAGCACTTTTATGGAAAAAGTAGTAGTGGTAGATTGCAAGTTCCTTTCAGCTTTTTGATTTGGGAAATTACAATCAAAAATAAAAAGGTATGGAATATGAATTAAACTTGTAAAATGCAGTAAAAGGACAAGGCATGTGCTGCTTTGTTGTCTTGTTAAAGGCTGACAGCTAACACAAAAATCCAAGCACTGCAGCATCCATCTATTTTCTTCCACTTATCAAATTCAGGGTCACGGGGGGGATGGAGCCTATCCCAGCTGTCATGGAGGAGAGACAGAGTACACCATAGGCAGGTTACCAACATATCACAGGGCTAACAGAAAACCTTCCACAGCTTCACCCAATTTTTAATCGCCAATTAACTTAACGCCCACCTCATTCGACTTGGAAGGAAGCCAGAGGGAGAACACGGAAACACGGATCGGAACCTCGTATCTTCTTCCTGTGAGGTGACAGTGTTAACCACTGAACCACCATGCTGCCCACAGTGTAACATGTTACTACAAAAAAGGCAAAAAAGCAGACAAAGCTACACTAAACTAAAATCTTCACTTAATTTAATTGAAATTTAGTGTGCTTTATCAGTAGACAGCCCCCCCCTAAATTTAGTTCACTCATCCCTCTAAGCAGTTCCTCTCTTAGCTTCAGCTCATCCTATTGAATGTTTGTTTGGGATTGAGAGTTCTGCTCTCTCTCGCACACGTACACACACATAAACATAGTCCAGGACAAGACTGGAGTGAGAACAACTCACTATGAATGTGTGAGAGAGGAGAGATCGTTCCGTCTAGCTGCCAGAGTGTGTTGTCCGTAATATCGGTCGGTGTGTGCAGGGACAGTTATATAATAACAATGCAGAAAGCATCACAGGTTCATGAGTCACAAACACACACATGCAGGCTCCTAACACTCTCCCTGCGAACAGGAAGTGAGGCATTACAATCTTCCACGTGTTCACGATTTATCAGAATCAGAACAAATTGTAGCGTGACATATTATCGCTTCGACTTGACAAAGACAATGTGTTTGACAGCACGGGATGTGTTTACCAAACTCAACTCTGTCTGTAATGACCTTTTCCAATTTCTGTATCCGAATGCGTGATACAGACCTACGTCTCCACTGCTTCACAGCAGCTGTTCATGATTCTTGAGAAGAAAAAAGATGTTCACAATTGAACAAGCCTGTTGGATGTGTAAAAATAGAGATCCTCCCTCACCGGATGGCATGCAATACATCTCCGAGTTCCAAAACAAGAAGCCTGACCCTCAATACTACTTTTCATGATGAATAAAAGGTTTTAAAAATGGCCGTGTCATTAATGTCAATAGTGAGTCGGTGGAGCGATGTGATGAATGAGAGAAGTCGACATGTAATGAAACGGAGGAAGTGCCTCTATTGATTAATGCAAAATGCATGCCTGAGGTAAAAGCAACCTAAGCAACACTAATACATTTTCTGAAATGTGAAAAACATTAGCTTAGTTGTGGTGACAATAAACGGAAAAAGTAAATATAACAAAGAAAGCTTCAAGCTGGCATCTTGGTGTTTGTTCCTGAAAATAAATTAGCAATACAAGGCTTCATGAGGAGGAATAAGCGTAATCGTTTTACAGAGAGACTGCTCTAAAGTTAAGCAAATCAGAGCAAGTTTTATCCACAGGTTTCTTCTTGCTTTCAGATTTTTCAAACGGTCTTTATCAGTCGTACTGACAAAAATTATACTTTTGATGCTAACGCGTTTTCCTGGCATCATTGTTATTTTGCATAGCTGTTGTCCAACTACAGTAGAAGAGTTAAAGCCTCCAGTATACAGTATTACAAGTATTAGATCCTTGTAGTACATTACTAGTATTTGCCTTTATGTGTGTGTGTCGTTCAGCTATTGATTGGAACGCTTCAACCCTTTGGCCATGTTCTGGAAAGAGCAATAAAGACACACACACACATTCAAATGTACACATAGATACACTCAAAGGATGGTGTGGGTGGCCACTTGACTGCCTCACAGACAGACAAATACACCTGCACACACACACAGACACACACACACACACACATGTGGCCTGGGGCTTTCTAAACAGCCGAGCTCAGAGGTTGCAATTCGCACATCACTCTTTGCTCCCTCCCTCTCTTCCTCCCTCTCTCAGTAAAGCAACACAGCATCTCTCACGTTCTTTCATGTATTTCTCATTGGCCATCCTCCCGCCTGCCGTTTGTTTTCTTTCCCTGCCCTCTTTAGGCTCACACCACACATTTTTTTCTCACTAATGTGCTGATCTTCCCATTGTTCTCTGTCTGTCTTTGTAGCTACATGTATAGCAGCACTGTGTCATACAGACCAGTAGAAGTTGGCTTCCTGCCTGTTGAGATGTGCCAATAGGAAACACTTTGAACAGGGGTTCATGCTGATGAAATTGATCTGCTCAGGTAAGGAACAAGTATGGCATATTGATATTCAAAAGCCTGTAAATGAACAATTGTAAGGTCAAACTGCATCTATGGGACTTCATTCAAAAGGTGAAAATTGATTCTTTTATGGAATATTTTCTAGAAATTGTCTTGTTTAGCATGCAGCTAAAACACAGCCTAACCCAAACCTGGTCACATGCAGTCTGGAGATAAAACATATAACATAAATTGTCTTAAACAATGCTATTGATCAGTTTTACTCTAAATTAATCAAGAAAAAGGCAAAATAACAAAGTTATTATGTCGTACTGGTACCAGACATAATGAGATTTGTTTTTGTTATTGAGGTAATCCTTTGTTTATTTTTAGTTGGATTACAGATTGAGCTTTTAAACCCCAGAGAACGAGTTAGACATATTTATAGAAGCTCCCCATCTCAATAAAAGATGAATCGCTGTCTTATGCAACAACTCCTGACCACAATGAAGACAGGATGGAGATGGAAGGACAGAGGAACAGATGGATAGATAGATGGAGAAGCAGATGGATTGCTGGATGCATGGACAGATGCATGACTCTTGCAGATGTGTTTTTTTTCTGTCAAGGTTGCCCTTCGAGAAAAGGATCCATCCTTCTTCACTCCTGTAAATTTCTCTAGTTTCCTCTAGAATATGACTCGGTTCCTTTATCAGTTTCTCTTTCCCTCTATTCACCACTCTTTTGCTCACACCTTTAATATCGCCGTCATTCTCTCCTTTTGACTCTCTCCCACTTTCTCATTCTCCTCTCTGATCTATTATTTACATCCCTCTCTGACTCTTCTCTTTCTCCCTTGACACCTGAAATCTCTCCATCCCCTTCAGGGTGTTTAGGCCTCCACCGACAGTGCTTCCCTCCCAGGAAAAGAAATAGAATGATGAATAAAAGAACAGAGCGAAGAGATAGATAAAAAGCTTTGGTATGGGTGGCTCTATCGATATGCCAAGGTATTTCTTCCAGGCTGAGCTGGTAGCATTCAGACAGAGCTGAAAAGGAGAGCATTTGCAATGTTGCTGCAGTTTTTCAACACAGAACTGTTTATAATGGTTTTTTTTTCTTTTTTTGCTCATTACTGAAGCGTAGTATCCAGCATTAGTGAGCTTAAATGCAATATTAACTGCAGTTTTTCAATATTTGACTGAATTTCAAAACATGTTGTAAATTTTTTTTTATTGAGCTCTCAGTGTCACTGCATTTGGTTGTTTTGAGGCTGACACATGGCAGCAGTTTATCCCTGAGCTTCATTGCAGCTGTGCCCCTGAGAAGGGCATGCATTTCCCAGCTGCCAGTAAAAACATCCACATCTGTCTTCTTTTTCTTGAAGACAGGAAAATGCAGTCAGTGAAGAGATTCATGGAGTAAATATATGATTTATTCAGACACTCTTCCACCTTCAGCATGTCCATAAAGTCGTTGTGTAGATGTCATAGTAAGGTGTTAATGGGTCTATTTTAACCCAAACTAAAACCAAGTACTGAATGGGGACTGAAGCTGAATGCTGACACTAAAACTCATGTTACAACTGAGTGCTTTAAGTCACTGTCACCAGTCTCCAAAGGTGGAGTTTTGTTGCTATATTAAACTAAACACCAACTCTAACTTCCATTCAATGCAGTAAAACAACCAAAATTCAACTAAGATTAGGTAATAAAGGACTCCTTGTAGGAAGAGGATGACACCAAATTAAAAAGCAACTGAAAATGGCTATTCAATGAGCTGAAAGTATTCAAAATGATAAATGTTAAGAACATTAACTGCTAATGATCATATAATAAACGGCATCTATTGAAATGTATCATAAGGTATAATAATGAAATAGTTAATGGTCTTGAACTGTAAAGATGTAACAATGTCATAAAGGTTATTTGAACAATTAAGAGAATTTATGTTCTAGTGAACACTTATATTGTCTAAGTATTAAGTGAAAAAGTCTGTGCAGGAGATAAAAGCCAAACATAATCTACATATAAGATCAATGGCATGCGTGTGTGTCAGATGAAGGCAGATCTGAAATAGAATCTTCTTCCGTTCCTCCTCACTGCACACATCGTCTATCCGCGCTTGCCATATCCCGCCACCAAACCATCAATCATCACATTCCCATGCTTTATGGTAATAGGAGGAAAAACTGCATTTAACGGCATTTTACCTTCTACCTCACCTACCCATCTCTCTTTGTCCCTCCATCCATCCATCTGTCTGAGCTCTCATCCAATCCAGACACAGTATGAGGTTGTTTATTTAAATCTATTTAAATGGATATGAGGCGTGGGCATATACAGGGATATTTCACGGCCCGGCAGGTCAGCAAATATCAAAGCTGTTCCAGCTCACTAACCCCTGATCTCAGGGCCCGTAGACATTTAGTACATACCACAGGTGGTCAAAGTTATGTCTATAAGTGATTGTGTATGAGAAATAATTCTATCTATCTATCTATCTATCTATCTATCTATCACCACCTGAAGAAATGAGCGACAGAAGTGATGAATCATGGCTGAAATTAAAAGGAGTGATACAACTGCTTCTCTTCTAAGATTAAAAGGCCAAACTGGATGAGGTGTCTTGGAACGGTTTAAAGAATAAGAAAAAAGAGAAAGTGCAAGGGAGGGGAGAGGAAGGAGAAGTGAAGGGTAAATGTCTTTGCTAATGTCTTTGGTGCCAATATTGACTAACACTGGCTCCCTCTGACTTTAGTACACTCACTGCATCCTCTTCAGATCGTTAGCTCTGTCATTAGAAAATGGACCTATTGGCTCAGTTGTTCATTGTCATCACATTGGATGGATGGACGGACGGATGGCCGGATGGATGGCCAAACATCACATTTTCTTAATGGAAATATGAGCTTCTGAGATTTAAATTCAGTGTCAATGTTCAGTGAGAACTAATTATTTTTCAAGGCTACTTCCTGACAGGGTGGACTGTGTAACAGTGAAATGTCAATTAACCAAATTTGGAACAGGTGGGACAGTTGAGAAAAAAAAAATCCAAGCATTCAACTTTCAGCTTCCATCTTCTGAAAGATAGAGGTAGATAATCAAGCCAAACATTAGAATACATTCAAAAATGGTTAACAGTGTCATGTAAAATTAGCTAGATGTGTAAAGATTACTTAGATAGTCAAAGGCAAAAGATGTTACTCATCGAATTCCTCACAACAGTCAATTGTATCGATTGATGGAATTAATGTTTGGTGGTTCATAATACAATTTCATACCACACCATCATGTTATGTAACATCTTGATCCATGGAAATGTTAGTATAAGTCTATGACTGAGTCCAGACGGGAAAGGGGGTGCAGGTGCTGTTTTAACACAATTTTAAAAATTGCTTTTCATCCCCTCCCTTAAATTTTCTTTTTATCATCTTATCCCTCTCCACCCTTTTCTGGCTTATATCCCCTGCACAGCACTTCTGACAAAGAAGGAAAAAAGAGAAAGACCTAAAAGGGCAAAGCAACACAAGGATTTACACACTGAAGCCCAAAGAGAGACTGAGACAGCATGTGAGGGGGAAAGGGTCAGGGAAAGAAAGACATCAGTCTTCTAATTCAAAGGGGAGGTGTCTGTGTGAAATGGAATTCTGTAATATGATGTTACGGCTTTTTTGGTTTTTTATTTATGAGACTGCTCCAGTTGGCCCTGTGCACTCAGCACTTGCTGGACTTGGTATAATCGTACTTTAGTGACCTGACAGAAAGACAGAAACGCATTTACTGCAATTCAATATAAGTACAGGATATCAGATACAGTACAAGTTGCGAGAAGCAGACAGATTTAGATGTAATAGATAGTATACAGCTGCAAAAGAAAAAACGTTATAGATTTCAACACCATTTCCAAACAACTCCAAGTTGAATTTTCACCTAACCTTATGAGTGTTGTTCGCAGAGGCTAAAAACTGCCCAGCTGGGCATGTGGCCGCCTGTCAAACTCTCAGTGGACACTTCTGCCTCTGCTTCTTTCTTTTTAAAATGTCAGAACAATTTCTCAGCTTTTATCTGTTCAGTCAGGCTTTAAAGGCGATAATGTTGTTATGGAGATAATTGTGTAACAGGAAAGTCATCACACAACTGTTAAAAAGTCAGTTTTTTGGAACTCGCAATGTGACCACTTTTTTTCAGTCAACCGAAGAGCAACAGTGTTACTAATGAAGGTAAAATATCAACTGAAAGTTTTATAACAAAATTCTTACATCAAATTTTCAAATCTACTCTATCAGATAAACTTATCAAATAAAAATAATAAGAAGAATAAAACATAGACACATTAACTATTATATACATAGTGCCTTACTACTCTGATCACATTCAGACATTGACAGAGCTTTATAAGTATTCTCTGCCTATCATGCACCGTTTCAAACTCTGCATGGGGGTTTAATCGGATTGGGAGCAATTTGGGCGATCGGTATGTTGCCCAAGGACACTGACATGTGGACTGGAGGAGCTGGAGATCGAACTACCGACCTTCCAACTGGCTCTGCCTCCTGAGCCACAGCTGTTGTTTTTGACTTCATGGTGTTTTGGCTTTCATACAAGTCATGAAGTCTGATGGATGACTGGTAATATAAGCAGAACGGGAGTTTTAAAAAGTAATTGTTTTAGTCCACGTGACCTGACTTTCTTGCACCTTGTATCTTAGCTGTACTACACGCTTGCTTTAAACAGGTTTTTAGTTTGTAATGTGTTCCTGTTAGAAGAGTTATTTTGAGTAATTCTTGAGTGTGCTACCGAAGCACAAATGCTCCCAAATTGCAATGCACAAAAGAAATGTAGCATCTTTTCAAGTAAAAAAAAAGTAAGTTGTAGTGAAACAGTTCCACAAAGTATTCAATCTTAAAATCTCTTTGTTCAGTTTTTATCACCAGCAGCTTTCAAAATCTGAAGTTTCTTTTTCAGTTGGTCTACTTACTAAAGAGGTTTAGTGATGCTGGTGTTCGCCCCAGCATGCATCCCAGGGTGCCTTTTCAGAGA